ATTTAGTCTCCTAATTTTAAAATTTTATACAATTTTTATCCCTTAACTTAAAAGTTAAAAGTTAAGAATTATTTGACAAAAAAATTAGGTTAAATACTAATTTTGGTCTCTCAACTTTAGTGAGTTGCACATTTTTGGTCCCTCAACAATTTTTTGCACTTTTTTAATCCATCAACTCTAAAAAATGCACATCATTAGTCCTTCCGTCAATTTGGGCCGTTAACTCCACACATGTGGCATTTTTTATATTTTTTTTATGACATGGTGAAAACAACTTTAAAAAGTGTTAATCTAGATATTTTTTTTTATGACATGTCAATGCCAACTTATTAACCCAATTTGATTAGCATTTATATTTTTAATAAAAAATAAAAAAACTACAAATTTACCTTAATACCCCTATCTCCCTTTCGTTCTTGATTCATCTTCTTCCTTTCTTTTTTCTTTTTCTTTCTTCCTCTGTGTTGCTGGATTCCCTCAAACCCAATTGATCTGGGTTCAAGGGAACCTAGCTCAGGTTCGATGGAACCCATCTATTGGGTTCCGTCAAACCCAGCAATTAGGTTCCACCAAACCCAGATCTGTTGGGTTCGGTGGAACCTAGGCTAGGTTCTGTCGAACTCAGATCTGTTTGGTTTGAGGAACCCAGCAACTGGGTTCCACTGAACCCAACTCGGGTTCAATGGAACCCATCTGCTGGGTTACATCAAACCCAGATCTGCTGGGTTTGGAAAAGAAAAGCTGAGCAGTATTTGGTCGACTCTGGCATTCCATACACAATTATCAACTAGATTGATTCCAATGTTTGCTTTTTTTTATGCATCTTGCATCCCTTTTAGAATTGTTTAAAGAGCATGTCTGATTAGGTTCTTTAGATAGGTTTCTACCATGGTAATGCACTAAAATCACTCTAGCAAGTGTACTAGTCGCTCCAAGTAATATAATAATGAGAAGAGTGTCGAACCCACGAGGATTGTGTCTAACTAAGTACCAAAATAATTAATCCAAA